GCTTATTGCGATTCGAAAAGAGAGGAGAGGAGCGAAGAGATGAGGGAAGAAACGGAGAAGCTTTGTTGTCGGACTTTGTCAGAGCTGGTCGGTGTAGACGGTGGAACCGTGGACTCTCACTGGTAAGTTATCTGATATCCCTTCAGCTTCAATGTGATTATTCTATTTTTAGACTGAATAATGCGATTATTTTTCCATTAATTTGTTATTGGTCACTCATAAGCCTGTAGACAACTAGAAATCTTCAACCCAAGTTTTAGTTTTGGTATCCGAAACTTGACAACACAAATCCCACTAACTTCCTACGTCACATGACCCACAATTACACCCCCACTGTCAATAGATTTCGCTCCTCTCTCCAAACACTCTTTTATTTACTATGCAATCGAAAAAATAAACACACATACACTCTTTCAACACACACATCAAAACCATCACCTCTAACATTATCTGGGTTAGCAATTGATTTTGAATTTTTTAAAAAATAAATAATAATTTAATGACAATGTGGAGCCAATGCAAGCTGGTTGTTTTTTTGGGTGAAATTGTGGCAGAGAGGCTGGCATAGGGTGGAGAAGCCAGGAGTTGCGATGAATATCTGATAATTGTTATTGGTACAATTGTTAACTAAATATTGTGATTTTTTTTTTTAATACTATGATTTATTGTAATTTGTAGGCTTTTAGGTTATGATTTGTTGATTTTCTCTAAGAATTTGGATAAAAATCTAAATATTATTTTGTGCTGCCTTATATTTTATGACTTTTAGAAATATGATAGAACTCAATTGAAGATGCCTAATTTTAGTAAATAAATACATATAGAAATAGTTACTACTTTTTGTAAGTGAATATGGGCAAAAAAATATTCTCAATTGTATGATCATCTTTTGGTACTCAACTATATTGACAAGGAATACATAGTTCAATATTTTATCGTAACATTATTGATTTTTTTTCATGTTAGTAGAAATTGGTATTGAATTTCAAATTTTATTGGTTAGAGGTTAAACGTACTTTGGCCCCCCCAAAATCATAATCCTGAATCTGTCCCTGCCTTTTAATTTTAACACGTATCATTTCAAATCTAAGACGTTTTTATTGCATGTTACATTATTTTATAGAACATTATTATAATATTTTATAGAACATTATTATAATATATATATATATATATATATGGGTAAATTACACTTTATTCTCTTCAACTATCAGAGTTTTTCACTTAAATTAAAAATTGATACAATGTATCACTTTCATCTTTTGAAAGTTTTAAATCTAACTCTTATGCCTCTATTATGTTAACAAAATAGACGAAAAAGGTACATGTAATGTGCGCACGTCATATTTATGATAGATCTTTAAAAGATATTTTCATTATAAATATAACATACGCACATTACATACACTTTTTTGATCTGTTTTATTAATAGAATGGACATGCAAGGATTAGATTGAAAATTTTTAAAAGATGAAAGGTACATAGTATCAATTTTAATTTAAGAAGGTAAAGTAAAAAATTGGTAGTAGTTAAAGGAGGTAAAATATAATTTGTTACTATATACAAGTTATATAAATATCATAATCAAATCCTCTTCACTCATAACTAAAAAAAAATGGATACATTATTCCTATGTTTGTTTTAACATTTTGGTTTAGGATTATTAATCCAATGGATAATTAATCCAACAAATTTGTATGGTTATTAGTAATGGGATAGGGGTGAGATTATTAATCCAATAGATAATTTATTCAATTGGATAGGGAATACCACACTAATTTGATAGGATTATTAATACCTCACTATCAGTCATGTGAATCAAACATGACCTATGTGTAACGCCACAATAGCTCATAATTAAAGACCACAAGATTTGTAACTGGGCATATATGTCTAGATAGATATATGTATATATATAATATTGTTTTGAGTAGTATTTTGCATAGATTACCTAAGGCCGCAAGCTCAAGAGAACTTCCCTGGCCAATGACAGCAGTGTCAATGAGGCTCATCAACGGACCACAAATCCACAACCCAGTAGCTGGTCCAGAAAACTTGACAATCTCTAAAATCTGATCCCAAATGCTACGATCTCCAGCGAACTCTTGTCTTTCCGGCGAAACCGCCACCTCTGTTTCCTCCGGCGTCTCTTCCGGTTGTGCAAAGGGCGAATTAGAAGTGATCTTTTCGACATTTTCATTCGCAATTTCGGGGTCTTCGCTCAGAATTTCTTGGCTTGGACTAATGCAACAAGTTGTCAGTCGGCTGCGGCGGCCGGAATAAGTTGCCGGAGAGATTCGAAGATTTGCCGAGATTCGAGAAGAACTTGGGCGGCGATTTTTGGAAGAGGAGTGTAGATGGGATGTGCAATGTGGTTTGAATATGGGGTTTTGAATTGGAATGTGGTAGTGGCGACTTAGGGTCTTAAGATCCATGTTTTAGCTTTCTCAGCTATAATACTCTATGCTATGGCTGAAGAGAAAATGTGAGCTCTATGCTATGGCTGAAGAGAAACAGAGAGAGTGTGAATGTGAGAGAGAGAGAGAGAGAGAGAGAGAGAAGAGAGAGAGGGGTGAATTTTAAAAGGGTTTGAGCCGAGTGAAGGATTCGCGGTAATAAATAACAGTCACAAACAGACACCCTACCAGTAAGAACTTGGCCACAGTAGTAGCGGACTCTGGAAATTAAGTTAGAGGTAATGTTTATTAATTATAATTTTTTTAATTTAAAAATAAATCATGAGTAATATTAAGATGATAATAATTTTATAAGAAAAATTTAAACATAAAAAATTACATATTCATTATTAATAAGAATAAATCAAAATTCTGTAATAGTGTGGAATAGCTCGATGTGGAATGATGATGTAAATTTGTAATTTTAGCACAAAAAATTATGGATCAAAATTCTTAATTTTAAAAAATAAAAACACATCATTTATAGCACAAATTATTATAAAATCTATTTAATTTTTATTTGACAGAAAAATATTAAAGAGATGACATTGTTTATAAATGATATGTTTTGAATAAAAATTATTAAACAGTCTTAGAGTACCATACGATGTTGCTCACGTGATGCTCAAAGCATAGAAAATCACAAATTACACTAAGTGATATGTCAACTACTTGAAAATAATGAGTTCATTATATCTAATTTATAATTTTTTTGCTATACTATTGATGTAAACTACTATATAAACAATATCACATAGTGTTCCCAAAATATCAAATAATTACTTGTTGTGAACAATACAATAACTCTTACCCAAAGAACATGTTAAGAAAAAAATAGAATACATTTTATACATGACAAAAAAAAAAAAAAAATTGCAAAACTGAGGGGGAGGCACAAAAAAAAAAAAAAAAAAATTCAAAAGTGAAGGAAGGCACTAGGCCCTAATGTGACTCCAAACATGACCTCCTTGGTCATATATGATAGAGTAATGCTGACACTAAATGTTTTATCAAATATTCCACATGAGAGTGAGATGTATATAGGATTCACATAGTATGAATCATATATTGATGTGAGACATTTGATAAAATATTTAGAGTTCTTAGCATTTTAATATGACAATAGCGGTTTTTTTTTTTTTTAATTTATTGTTAAAAGAGATTATAAATTGTAATTTATGTAGTTATAGATTATAATTTTAGTTAGAAATTGTTAATTTATTTGGTGCAGCTACTGAATTATAGAATTAATTGAGTAGTGTTTGATAAATAAATTGTGAAATAACTTTTTGATGTATAAATGTCATTTTTACTTCTATTAACAGTAAATTGAATTAACCTTTATTTTTTGTTGTTGATCTGTACTTTGCCCTTTTTCTATTTTAAAGAATCCAAAAATAAATAAATAAATAAATCATTTTCTTAGGGTATAATCATAAAATAATATGCCCACCACAGGAGTTAAAAATCAATAACAGGGGTGGAAAGTTTTTCAGAATCAGTTTTTTTGGATTACAAAAAAGTTATATAATCAGAAGTTGTTTGGAATAAATTTAACCAAATAGTTAAACATAATTTTTTTTTAAAACTAAAATTTATAAGTTAGCCAATTTAATCCGCACCAAACACCCATAATATAATTTTAATTACTAATATTGATAAATAAAATTTGTAAAAAAAAGAAAAGAAAAATAAATTACAAATACACCGTCTGAGAATTACTAAAAATACTAATTACCTCTGTAGCTCTGAAAATTACATCATACATTTTAAAATTTCTAATTGTATAGCAAATAATCGCTGTCATTAATCAACTCTTAAGTCAATTACTGTTTTTAAACGATGCCAACCAAAATCTATTTATCTACTAATAAGGCTTAGATAGCAATATATTTTAATTAATAATTTTGATAATTTCATTGTTATAGAGAAGATAGATAAGAATTTTTTTTTTTTTGGGTGAATTCTGTTAAATAATAATTTTTGATAAGGGGGTATTTGAATTTTTAAAATTACAGAAGTAATCTATATTTTTAAGTAAACCCTAATGATTGTATTTGTAATTTATCCAAAAAAATAAATTACAAAAAAAAAAACCAAGAGATTTACCCTTGTAAATCTTGAGTTTTTAGTTTGGTCAATTTAAACATTAATCTTTTTACTTATTTTCAATCTAGGCCATCGTTATGTTTTCGTTAAGTAAAACTGACAAAAAAATAATATTTTAGTTATTAAGCTCAATGTGTGCACATAAAATGTCTAAAATATTTTTTTCGTAAAATTTAATAACTAAAATATTATTTTTTTTATCAATTTTTACTTAACAAAAATAGACAAATAATTTAGATCAAAAATAAATTAAAATTTTAAGATTTAAATTCCTAAAATTAAAATTTAAGATTTATTTTATTATAATGCTGGAATTATGATTTTTTTATAATATTTTTCGTTGTCTACTCAGGCTTTTTTGAGACTCAGGTTATTTTGGTGATTGGAAAAATAGTCAAAAAGTAAAAAAAAAAAATTAGTTTGTTTATTTTTTTTGTATATCTTTTCATTAAAAAAAATTAAAAATCAATTAAAATAGTCAAATTTCCAAAATAGGTCTCAACAATTATTTGGAAAAATTACCTATAAGTGAAATTTATTTGTAATTTTTTTTTAAATTTACAATACATTAAAATTTTTCCTAATTATTTAGAGAAGTTATATACATGCCAGAATTGGAGAAAAAAATTATCAGTATATAGAGAGGTGCAAGTGGCAATTGCACTCCCACAGTCTTTCATTTACATCCTATCACAAACATACTTATATCTTTATATATAAGTAATTTTTTTTCTCAATTCCTACTTGTATGTAGTTTCCTTAATTATTTTTGCTCGTGTGTGAGATGAAAGATTTTATATGACTAAAATTTGGGGAGACAAAATCAATACCTGGCGCCAAAAAGAAAAAAGAAAAAAGAAAAAAAGGGCTAATGCACTGCCAAGTTTCCAAAATCAGCACGTGACCAGCGTCTATTCCATGAGACTCCTTCAACCACAAAATAAACGCTACAAAATTTAGAATAATAATAATAAAAATAAGTCGCATTATTTTCTTTTGAAATTAAAAAAAAATTAATTAAAATTAAAAATATTAACATAATATTTAAATTTTTATTAGTTATACATTAGTCGTATGAATAAAAAAATAATAAAATATTTCTTTTTATATTAAAATGTATATTTTATCTTAATGTATCACGTGTGATGTGCATTGGTTCGATGATGTTAATCTTACTAAAATAAAAATTAACGTAATTATTTTAAACTGATAAGATTTATGTTTAAATATCAAGAATTGTGAGTATAATTTACTTAAAATAAAATTAAAAAATAAAATATTGTTGAACCCCCACATCTCATGAAACAGCAACTGTATTTCAAAGGAAAGGCTAGTCTGTGTGTGTGTGAATCTGGTTGTGTCAGCCACTGCTAGCGTTGACCCTCTCTCTCACTTACCTTTCTTTAAGCACAGATATATAAGCGTTTGAAAAGTTATTATTTTAATTTTTAATTATTTTAGTAGATTAAAATTTTTATATTTAAAAAGATAGTTAGATTTTTTTTATAATTATATGTAATATTTGTAAGAAAAAAAGTAAAATGATTATAAATTTGATATGATATTTTATTTTTTATTTTTTTTAATAAATTTTAGTCTAAAAAATTAAAAAAAAAAAAGAGTAATGCTAGAGACCCAAAATATTCTACCAAAAGTCTTACCAAATGTCTCACGTGGTGTCTCACATGGGTGTGGAACCCACACAATGTGGGTCCCATGTGAGTCCCACACCCACATTTGATAAAATTTTTGGTCGAACTTTTGATATCTCTAGCATTTTTTAAAAAAAAATCCTTGCGAAACACCCCATATAAAAGTGTGTGTGAGTGTGAAAATAGTTATCTGCCTTTCAACCTCTTTAGTTAGCTAGGCTCGACTCAGTGCTTCTAAGTTTAGATGCAGACTGGGAGATGCATGTTTGACTAATCATAATACGGGTTTATTTTATTTTGCATCTATGAATTATTATTAAATTATTTAATTTTTTAATTATCGATTGAATTTATTAAAATTTTAAATTATATAAGTCATGATCTATTTACTTTTTAAATTTTTGATTAAATCTATTAAAATATTTAATTTAAAAATATTTATTTTATGAAAAAATTAGAAAAATAAAATATAAACAAATAAATATTATAAATTAGTAAAATAATCTACCTAGTTAAGATTTATTTCAAAATAACATTCAATTTTTATTATGTCTTTAAAAAGTGAATGCTAGTTCTTCTAGTAAATTTTCTTTATATTGGTAAGAGTAATTGTTTATAATATTTTCTTATTTATCTTCTACAATAGCTACTTTTTTTTGTCTTTATATAAAATTATATGTAGAATGTCCATTATTACAAAATTAATTAAAGGTCACAGTTTTTAACCGTGATCTTAAACTTTCAATATCAATTTTTTTAAACTTTCAATCTCAGGGTTGGTTTTGGGTGACCTAAAAAAGTGCACTTTTTGTCTTTTTACAAAAAGATGTGCAGAAAAGTAGAGAGGTGATGTGATGAAAAAAAGATAAAGAGATAAAAAGATGGATTATATAGTCTATGCCAAACCGGCCCTCAATTTGTTTGTGTAACCGTGATTAAAAGTTTAAAAATCTAAGATCAAATGTTAAAACTGATAGTAACAATAAGATCTTAGTTTTGTAAGAAACTGTGACCATTTGTCAAGTTATTATCTCAGTTTTTACAAAAACTAGGATATTTTTCTAAACATACAATCTCACTTATTTAAAAAAACTGAGGTGTTTTTCTCAACATATTTTCTCACCACTCAATTTAGCTATTTGACATTTTATTTATTAGGAGGAGGATCTCCTCCAGTCCAGATTTTGGAATAGATGGCGCTATTTGGGCCCGCAAGGC